GTCTGGGCTATTGTCGTCCTGCTTTCGGAGGTCGGACCCTATGCGCTGGACACAACACTTGGAAGACTGTTGCAATGCTCTCGTCGCCGCAGCAGAATACCCCTCTGATATCTATGCTGTCTATGTGGTCCGACTACATCGGAACGTAGAGGTCTATTCTCCCTCTCTCGGGCTGTTGACGACGTCTACTGTGCCTCTCCGGAGTTTCATGAGTTGTTTCGAAAAAGACCTCAAGCAATACGAGGAGAGTGTACCCCCCAGCCTGACGGGCAACGAGCTCCTGAAGATGCAGACCCAAAATGCTTATATCTGCCTTTTTGAAACTGTATTCGCAGTCCCCGCAGAGAGCCCGTATCACCGAGCCGAAGCACTATACAAGTGTCTCAGTCATGTCAGCCTATTGTTTGACAGCCTAGATGCCATCCCATGGCGGTGTGTACCAAATTTAACTTTCCCCTTTTGGCTGCATCTCATCCACGCTTTGGTTGTTCTAGCCAAGATGTCATTTCTTGTCCTCGATGGGTGGGACTTGCAATCGATAAGAGGCTCTCAAATGAGTTTTCCGTCCGCTATAGACCGAATGGCGCAAAAGATGGAAACGGTATCCCAACAGAGCCTTGCCGCTGGAGATACACCATCGAATAACGCCATTGCAGCACGCTTCAGCTTGTTCGCAGAGAAAATGCGTGCTTGTAAAAAGTGGTACGCCAGCAAGCTCAACGCAGAAGCCAACGTTGTAGCTCCGGGTCCAGACACCAGTGTGCTTTCGGGAACCATCTCCACCGAAGAGTTGTTCGGGGGTTTCGAGGACGGCCTCTGGCCAGACCTCATGGCTGATTGGAACGCCAACATACAATTCTAGCTCTATGCAGAGCAGCGAGACCCACCTGGTATAATGGTTCGAGCCGTCGCTCCGAGACTCTAACCTCCGACTGGCTAGGTGAGTGGTCGATGGTCTATACAAGGGACGGTGGAGGCCGGATACGGAGTGTAAAGCAGGGGTACCGGATCACAGGCCGCCCTCCCCAATCCGGGCTAATATAAACATCAGATGGCCCCATGTCCTTGGATTGTTGAGGCTTGTCACTGCCAATCCTCAATAGGCCATTCTTTTGAACGCAGTACTAGCCAAAATGAAGACGCGAGCTGACACCTCAACACATACATCGCCCGCTACCTCCACAAATGTCCCAACTGACCGTGCCGACGATGTTGAAAATGCACAATCATTGGGGTTGTCTTCTGCTAAAGAGGACGAGGAACATCAATACTTGGGACCACGCGCCTTGACACTTCTGGGTGGCTCCCTTCTGCTTGTTATATTGCTCGTCACTCTCGATGTCTCCATCCTTGCGACCGCCATTCCTAAGATTACGGATCACTTTCATACAATCGCCGATAGTGAGAACTCCCCCCTTTTCAGAAACACGACAGCACTTCGCAAGAGTTCTTGCCAGATGAGAGATAGTCTCGAGATACAGGCTAACAATAGTCGACAGTCGGCTGGTACCCTGCAGCATACATGATCACAAATGCATCTTTGCAGCCTCTCACCGGAAAAGTGTTCACATACTTCTCGCTTAAGCCAGCCTTTATCGCCTTTGTCGCCATTTTCGAATTGGGTTCACTAATTTGTGCCCTCGCCACGTCTAGCAAAATGCTGGTAGTGGGACGAGCAATCGCCGGTATGGGCTCATCAGGTCTGATGAATGGAGTCCTCACCATATTTGCCGTCTCTGCCTCTCCTTCGGTACGGCCTACAATGATGGGTCTCCTCATGTCATTCGCCGGTGCTGGACAAGTCATAGGGCCGCTGATCGGAGGCGCATTGACTGAACATGCATCGTGGCGCTGGTGCTTTTGGATCAATCTTCCCGTGGGCGCGGTGACCATTGTGGCGACCCTGTTCATCGGCTTTCCGGTATACAAAGCCGGTAAAACAAACTGGACCTTTCGAGACGTGATTCGCGACTTTGACATCACCGGATTTACCATTTTTGCGCCAGCCTGCATCATGCTCCTCCTCGCTCTAGAATGGGGTGGGAGTACTTATTCATGGTCGTCCGCTACGATCATTGGACTGTTTTGCGGCTCAGCAGGGGCAATTACAGCCTTCATCATTTGGGAGTACCGTCAGGGAGAGTCTGCCATGATTCCAGTGTCGCTAGTACGGCAGCGAGTCATTTACAGCTGTTTGATCAACGCTATGTTTCAATATGGCGGTATGACGGTCTTCGTCTACTACCTTCCCTTGTGGTTCCAAGTGATCAAATCCTTAAGTCCAACGATGAGTGCAGTCAACATTCTCCCAACTTTTGCGCTGCAGATTACAAGCGCCATTCTTATCGGTGCCCTAACGCCCTACTTCGGCTATCTCGCGCCACCAGCTACAACGGGTTCAGCTTTTGTTACAATCGCAGCAGGGCTGACCAGCACACTCACCATGCATACTGGCGCAGGTAAGTACGTTGGATATCAGATCCTCAACGGCGTCGGACGAGGCATCACAATGCAGCAACCCATCCAAGCGGTCCAGTCCATCGTTTCACCTGCCATGATCCCTGTCGCAACTGCTACTGTGGCTTTTGCACAAACTTTCGGCGCTGCGCTGTTCATCAGCCTTGGTCAAACCACATTCATCAACTTACTCAGTCATGCATTGCGCACTTATGCCCCCGGTGTGAATGCACAGGATGTAATCAACACTGGCGCGACGAACTACCTCGCCACGCTCCCTGCTGGGGGCGCCAACGCGGACACAAGGCACGGCGTGCTCCGGGCGTACAATCAGGCGATCACAAGTACATTCTACCTTTGTGTCGGATGCGGCGCCGGCGCCTTTGTGGCGAGTTTGGGACTGGGACGAACGAAGCTGGAGACGAAAAAGGACAAGAAGAAGAGGGACAAAGAGAAGGAAGACGCACAACAGCGAAGCGAGGCCGATGAGAAAAGGGGCGACATTTCGAGTTTCAGCGGCTTGATTGAAAGTGGTACGAGTGGATCGGCAAGGGACGGCACATCCTGAACTGGCCATTGCCGACGAAAGCAGAGAAACATACTCGGCCATGTCATGTTTCTGAAAAACAACGAGCTTCACGTCTCATCATGCTTGGGTCAAGCCTGGGGCATGGAGGAGATTGCAGAAAAGGGTGCCCCCCGGGGTTACAGAGCCCACGCAGGTGTGTTCGATTGGTTGGATAAATTTCGGGAGGATCAACGTCTGTATTACATCCACTCTCTTCGAGGTCATCACTCAATTGCTCGGGTGAAAGACGGACCATGAGTTGATACGCTGGATTCAGACAACGGATGGGAATCATCCAAAAAGGACAAAGGACATCTTATAACATGCGAGTTTCGTAGAAATAGATGGGTTATAAGCGGGTCTGGGGTGCTTGACGGTTTTACTATTGCTTCAATTCTATAGGGCAACATTTTTTATTCTCATCTAATCAGTATGTCTACCTAATTGTCTACTAGAGCATAGGAGATGGCAGTTTCTATATATCTTGTCCTTGTCTGTATATTTGTCATGCCTTGCTCTTTTTTGGCTTCGATAAGAATGAACGTTCTAGCCATCAAATCCACGACCACGTTAAACAAGACTGCTTTTACATGGATATTTATCTACTCAGTCCCAAGTCTTACAGAAAATCCAGCAGGAGAGTCCGACATCTCGACCATTTGAACTATATTGGAGCCTGACTCTCGTGCTGTTGGGATAGATACTGGAGCTTTAAGCACCAACTGCGAGTAAAGACTTGACGGTATCCACAACACTTTCCTCCAGGCTCCGGTACTTCAGGCCCAGCACCTCCTTGCTTCTCGAGTTGTCATACTGATAGCAGTCTTGTGGCCTGTCACTCTCGATCTTGTCGGGTAGCTTATCAGCCAGATCCGGGAAGCGCTGCTTAATAATCTGCGCAATGTCGGCGTTGGAGTAGTGGCCTGCTGTTGTCAGAAATCGTTTGCCACCTGCTTCGGGAACTTCCAAGGCTTTGACGTGAGCGAGCGCGACGTCCCTAACGTCGACCCAAATAAAGACGCCTGAAGGAGCAAGACCAGTATCCTTGGTCCGGCCTTGGATCATGTTTCTGACTCGTTCGTTGGAAGTGTTGATCGTATCGAGAGAATTGAGATAGTGCACAACGGGGCCAAGGACGAGTGGTGGATTGATGGTGGCAATGTCAAAGTTGGGCTTTTCCTTTTCGACAAACTCCCATGCCGCCCGCTCAGCGAAGGTCTTTGACGCACGGTATGCGTTCGCTGGGTTCTGAATGGCTTCTTCTTCCGTAATCGGGTTCCAGTTCTTCTCGCTGTAGATCTTTTCGTGCGACGATGGGTTTATAATCGCTGCAAAAGAACTCGTGATAACTATGCGTTTGACGGTAGGCGCGTACTTTTTGACAGCCTTGAGGATTCCAGTCGTACCAATGATGGCAGGATCTAGCAGATCTTTCTTTGGATCGGTGACGTTGTAATGGAATGGCGATGCCGTGTGCAAAACGCCCTCAAAGGGAGGATCTGATTTGACGGCCTCGTCAAAGGCATTTTCTTGTGCGATGTCGCCAACAATTACGTAGTTGAGTTTATCCTTTGGTAGGCCAGGATGATTTCTCAAGATCTTTTGACCCTTTTCTAGCGAGCGCACGGTAAAAACAACAGAGTGGCCCCGCTGAAGCAGGTAGTCGACACAGTGGGCGGCGATAAAGCCAGATCCGCCAGTCAGGAGAACTCTCATGTTGTTCGATGGTTGGTGATAACGTTTCCGAAAAAGTGTAGATAGGAAGATTTGACGTGGCTGAAGTGACTTGAAAGGATTTGTTTTGGCGAGCAGCATTAAGACTCTTTATACATTCTATAGCGACGGTAATAAAAGCTCGGCATTTGTCGGTAGAAAGTCCGTTTAACAAGGTTTGTCGTTCTTGCAAAATCGAATGTGAAGGACTCCTCACGTCATTTATTGCGTTCTGGCGCCAGTTTGTTAAGAGGTTTCAAGCCTAGCCAATCGAAAACTCCCTGTCTTTTATCTCATGATGGAGTTGATTGACTTCATCTCCGCTAAGCCCGTCGTAATCGATATCGTCTCTCCACAAACCACGCCCTTTGAGCGCTTTCTGGGTCCAATTCGGATATAACTGAGCTTGCGCCCTGGGGTTATCTTGAGTTGCTAGCCAGACCATCCTTCGCAAACCCCGTCGGTATTGCTCTGCCTGCGCGGGCATAATATCAGGGAGTGTCTTGAGCTGAGCTACGATCTGGTTTGGCGAAAGATTGCGAAGGTCGCGATATGATGTATAACCAAGTTGGATCAAGAGATTGGCTGTTTTTGGAGTGATGGCTAAGTCATGTTGAAGCTGTTGCTGCGTATTCATGTTATGCTGAATGTCCGACGTCTTATCTCCCGAGGCGGTGGATGAATGACACAAATCATGTTGTGGCGCGAGGGGGAAACTGCATTCCCTCTTCGGTAACCTCTTTGGCAGGCCCTGTTGGCAAATTAATTCGTAGCGAGTATTGTTAGTTGGTCTGGGTGGCGCTTGGGAGAGGCAGAGAGGCTGCGGCGGGGGAGGGGGAAGGTGGAAAGGCTGTGGAGACCCTGTTGCCACCTACCCACACCCCAACCGATGAACTTTACTGTACCTCGTAAGGCTAGCAGGCATGTCACATCGCTAACTTGACTCCTCTTCACGAAAACCACCCGCCCCAAAGTCATCAACATCATGGGCAATGACGGAGGAAGGTGAGTTCAGCCTCCATAGTCGTGAGATATCGATGTACAATGTACTGACCGTTGATAGCATCCCAACACGGCGTGAACTCGTCAAGGAAGCGGCGCGGAATCCAACTGCCTCCGAACTCAGAGACAAGCAAAAAGAGCACCTTGCTCATCGTTGGTCTACCTGCCCAGTCTCCCACAAACCCCTCGTCAAGCCTATCGTTTCAGATTACTCAGGCGATCTCTACAATAAGGACGCCATTATTCAGTTTCTGCTCCCTGCCGAAGCCAGCTCTGTGGACAAACAAGAGTACGAGAAATTTATTCAAGGTCGGATCAACAGTCTCAAGGATGTAGTCGAAGTGCAATTTGATGCAGAACACGATGACAAAACCAAGTCAGACCGATGGATCTGCCCTGTGACATCTAAAGAACTGGGCCCGAATACCAAAGCAGTCTACCTCGTTCCCTGTGGTCATGCATTTTCACAAGAGGCCATCAAAGAGATGAAGAGCGAGGGGAAATGTGTGCAGTGTGGCACTCCATATGAGGAAAGGGATGTTATCCCTATACTTCCAAGCACTGAGCAAGACAAAGCGCGGGTGATCGAGCGGATCGAGGCCCTGAGGTCTCTGGGACTCTCGCACTCTCTGAAAAAGGCCAATGCGAGCAAGAAGCGGAAGGCAAATGGTCACAGCAAAACAGACCAAGTGCAGCAAGCCTTGGAACAGAAAGCAACGGGGACCAATGGGCAGGAGAAATCAACACCGTCCAACACCTCCCTCCCTGCGACAAGCCAGGCAGGGAACTCGACAACAAATCTGCCAAATGGGATTAAGAATGCTGCAACCGCCAGTCTTACCGCCCGAGTCATGGAAGAGGAAGCAGCTAGGAAGAAGAGAAGGCGTGAGAACGAAAATATCAGCTCCTTGTACTCTAAGAAATCAGACGAAAAGAATCCAAGGGATGCCGATTTCATGACCCGAGGGTTTTCGATCCCTGCGAATGCCCGACACAAATAGTCCTTTAGACGTTGGACGGAAGGACACCTGAGGCCTCCAATCCGCTTACAAGGACATGTCTTGAGCTCCAGAAAATCGACATTCTTGTTAGGCCGTGTTGACAATACCTCTGAGCACTCAACAAGGCCCTGGACCCTATCAATGCGCCTGTGGGCAGTGTCTCATGAATCAGCAATCATAATCAAACACCAGCAGCTGCTCGAGCAACAACACGCAGATACTTGTACAAGTTGGCTTATCCAAATGTACCCGTGTCCATGGGCCATGCCGAATTCGGCCATTCGAGGCTGGCTTACTCTCCCCTGTGGCTTATTGGCTCACGTCCGAACCGTGACCGGACTATTCCACCGCAGAGTATGATTATTGGGGATAGTCATGTTGGCTCTAACTCAAGGTATGCAGCCTTGCTCTGATGTTTGTGCTCTGACCTACTGTCCGTGGAACCGTTGGACATTGGTGTTTCTCACCGCGACCGGCTCTAGATGTTGCAGGCATCTCACGATATCCGGTGTAACGACATCCCTCTTTTCAAAGGTCTCCAGCTTACTGCATATACTGGGCGGCAACAACATTGTCCCACCAATACGGCGGCTCGAGTATAAATCAGAGCACATCCTCACGAAATACCTAGAGTGTTTGATACAAAACAGTCCTCCCAGTATACCCACCGCAAAAGGTGCGACGTGATCTGCCACCGACTAGGAAGAAGACTCTCAAGCGTTTCAACCTCGCAAACTCAAACGCACCATGTCGAGGTTTCCTTCCTTCACCAAAACATGGCATCACTCGCCTTACGCTGCCATCGATCCTCTGGAGCCTTCTCTATCGGCTCACGGAAAGGCTGTTTTCATTACTGGCGGTGCAACTGGAATTGGCAAAGCAACAGCTATCGCCTTTGCAGTGGCCAAGGTACGCGCTGTCGTTATCACAGGGCGGACCAAATCCGCACTTGATGGCGCGAAGGTCGAGATTGAGGAAGCAGCCAAGGCTAGAGGTAGCGTCGACTTCCAGTGCCTTGTATTCCAAGCCGACGTGGCATCTGCACAGGCCATGGATAATGCTTTTTCCCAGACCGTTAAAAAGTTGGGCCGAATTGATGTTCTCGTCTCCAACGCAGGGTATCTGGATCGTCACTCTCTCCTTGCGGAATCAGAGCTTGAAGACTATTGGCAATGCTTCGAGACGAACGTCAAAGGCGCTCTCGTTGTCATCAAAGCATTCTTAAAGACCCGTCCACCAGCACAAGTGCCCTCGGTGGGACCACACGACTCGTCAGCTTCCAAGCCCGTCATCATCAATATCTCGACTGGTGCTGCACACCTACCTCCACCACTGATACCTACATTCTCCGCCTACGCCGCCTCGAAACTTGCAGCTCTGCACATCTTTTGCTTCCTCCAAGCCGAACACCCCGATGACCTCGTCGTGTTCAACCTACAGCCTGGTGAAATCCCGACCGCAATGGCAAGAAAAGGACAGCGAGACATGGCGAAGGATGATGTGCGGTTACCAGCGTCCTGGTGCGTTTGGGCTGCCGCTAAAGCTGAGACTGATGCGAAGTTCCTCACAGGAAGGTTAATTTGGGCCAATTGGGATGCTGAGGAGTTGTGTGAGAAGAGGGAGGAGGTCGAAAGAGGGGGTCTCTTGAAAATGGAGTTAAAGGGCTGGGGTGAAGAGTTTGTAGAGAGATATGTCGATTGACGCGATGCTGCATGACAGAGGCCAATGGACGAGAGCGACATTATGAGATCGAAGAAATGACTCAAAAGAACCCCATATGTAAACAGCCATGAAGGCATGTCTACGGACCTACACCCACATCCTTTGTTTCATCATGTCTGCAGTAAATTTCAATTATTCTCTCGCTGAATATCTGGTTCACCCAACTTGCTTTTGCTCACCTTTGCGAGCTGCGAATAAGGCCAATTGCTCCCTCTAGGACTGGACGCATGAATATATACAGATTCCATCCATTGAATCAGTATTGCAGCCACGGAGTGCTTTTCATCTCTTTGCATCGTTCTTCCTCTGTGAAGCTTCCTAAAAGCGGCGTTTATTCCGCTCAGCAATTTACGCGTCGAGCGCGTTGACCTCAATCATCCTTTGACCGCATCCAGAGTGACCCAATGCGACCATTCATTCAATCACTCCATGGCCGAGACCTCCGATTGCTAGAGAGCATCATTCGTCCCCGGACCCTCCTCACGGGCCACAAGCAGCACCGAGAAACCGTAAAGCCTACCTTCCAACCATGGCTCGCTCGAGGCCAACAGAGGGGGGCAAAATCGGTGTCAAGGAAGAAAGTGAAAGATCTACAACAGGGCACGATCCAGGCTGAACCCCTACCTGACTTACTTGCCGATGATGAGCCCCAGTACCCGACGGTCCTCAAGGGTGCGAGATCTAACATGGCCAAATTTGACAACTGCGTCCTCCTCACCCGAGTCGGCAATTTCTACGAGTTGTACTTTGAACAGGCGGAAGAATATGGGCCTCTCCTCAATCTCAAAGTCGGCCACAAGCAGACCAAGCTAGGGCCTGTCGCAATGGCGGGATTTCCCTTTTTCCAGTTGGACAGGTTCTTGAAAATGCTTGTCCAAGATCTCAACAAATATGTGGCTATATGTGAAGAATTCCTGGTCCAGGTCTCTGGCAAGGTCAAATCCGGTGGTCTCAAACACGATCGTCGGGTGGCACGAGTGATAACCCCGGGTACGTTGATTGACGAGAAGTTCCTGGATCCGTACGAATACAACTTCCTGCTATCGATTGCCCCGGAGCCTGTCATGATCGAGCAAAGCAATGGTGGTGTGGGAGCTCCAGAACCAGAGCCTGAGCAAAAGCTCGGTCTTGCTTGGTTGGACCTATCTACTGGCGACTTCTACACGCAGATCACAGGTCGTGGCTCATTGTCGTCAGCATTGACCAGAATTGATCCCCGGGAGATCATTCTGCCTTCTAACATTCCCGAAGAAATTCAAAATGAGGTGCAGAATATAGTCGGCCGAGACCATCGACTACTCACGTTGCATGAGACAGATAGTGATTTTATATCCATGACCGAATGGAATGAGATGCTCGAATCTCCCGTGCCTGCAAACGCAGATGAGAGTTTCAGCGTGGCAGAAAAGCATGCTGGGCACCGACTTCTGGACTATGTTCGCCATCGGCTGCAGGGCTTACAGCTTCGTTTGCAGCCTCCACGTCAACGGGAAATACAGGCTATCCTGAACATTGACCGTAACAGTCTCAGAGGCCTGGAGATTTTGGAAACCGCCCGAGACGGCCTTGGAAAGGGGAGTTTGTTTCATGCTGTCAAGAGGACCTCAACTAAAAGTGGTGCACGCCTTCTACGAGACCGCCTCACATCCCCGTCGGCCTCGCTTGGTGAAATTAATGATCGGCTCGATTTGGTCACAGTCTTCGTTGAAAACCAGGAATTTGCGGAGTCGTTGATCTTCCGACTTCGAAGAACATTCGATGTCCAACGCATCGTTCAGAAATTTGCGCTGAACAAAGGAGATGCGGATGACATGTTGTCATTAGCAAGCGCCATAACCGAAACCGTCGCGACGAATGATCTTCTACAGTCGTTGGAACAGGACTTGAACCTGGCAGAAACCAACCGGACGAACCAAGCACATGTGGTGCTTCCTCTCCGGAAGCTTCTGCAGCGTTTTGAGCTGCAAGGGCCAGCTGAGCTCCAGGCTCGGATCTCTTCGGCTATTGACGAACAAGGCCTCATGCAGAAGCATCGGCTTGAAGAAGACGAAGCAGCAAGTGTTGCGGCCATGGCACATGATGTCGTATTGCAAAGTGGTCCAGAGGAATTGGATTTATTGCCCAAGGCTGTCAAAGCCCGCAGCAAATTGGAGGATCAAAAGAAGGACGAGATCGAACTTGAAGAGCCCTGGATAATGCGTCGCGATGCTAGTGAGACGCTGCACCGATTACACGAAGACCTGGACTCGCTCCAGACAGAGAAAGTTCACCTAGCGAACAGGCTGCGAGAGGAACTCTCAGCGCCGACGTTGATGCTGAAGTCCACACCTGGCCTCGGCCACATTTGCCATATTCGCAGTGCCACAGGCTTTGATCGAGAGAAATTGGATTCACTCCATGCCAAGATGGTCTCATCCTCCAAGAGTACTCGTTCCTTCTATCTGGGCGACTGGACTCGGTTGGGCCGCCGGATTGACCAAGCGATTCTAAACATCCGCGAGGAAGAGAAGCGAATCTTTGCAACGCTGAGGGAGCTTGTCATCAAGAACCTGGTAACACTGAGGCGCAATGCGGCAATAATGGACGAACTAGATGTTGCATGCGGCTTTGCCCTCCTCGCGAGGGAGCAATCGTGGGTTCGACCTCTCCTCAACAACGGTACTGAGCACAAAATCATCGGGGGCCGGCATCCTACAGTCAAAGCAGGGCTAGAAGAGCAAGGTAGATCTTTTGTCAGCAACAATCTCGTCCTTGACCACAAGGAGCGAATGTGGCTGGTGACAGGACCCAACATGGGTGGGAAGAGTACGTTTCTCCGGCAGAATGCTCTGCTTACATTACTTGCTCAGGCCGGCTCGTACGTGCCAGCCGTCCACGCTGAGATCGGGCTTGTGGACCAGATCTTCAGTCGGATAGGGGCTGCGGATGACTTGTTTCGAGACCAATCTACCTTTATGGTGGAGATGCTGGAGACAGCAACGATTCTGAAGCACGCCACTCCCAAGTCATTTGTGATCATGGACGAGGTAGGGCGAGGCACGACCCCGGAAGACGGAACCGCCGTTGGATATGCGAGCTTGTATCACCTCTATCACATCAACAAATGCCGAACACTCTTCGCGACCCATTTTCATGGCCTGGCAGATATGACACGAAAATGGTCCAAACTGGGCTGCTATTGTACTGATGTGCTGGAGGATGAACATGGCTCGTTCATGTTCCTGCACCGATTGAAGAGGGGCATCAATAGACAGTCTCATGCGTTGAAGGTTGCAAAGTTGGCCGGACTGCCTCCAGCAGCAATCAAAGTTGCAGAAGATGTTCTCAAACAGATTGCCGCGGAAAGTAAGATACAGGAACAATCTGCAGCAGATGCTGTAGAAGAAAAGGAAAAGTCCTTGATGGTTGGGACCGGATGACCACCCGTGTCACTTGCTCATTCATCTGGGAATCTCGGAGGCTGTTGAATCTCACCTGGTGCTGGTTTCGACGTCGCAACCGTGCCACAATTCTTACACGTCCGGGCGTCCATATCGTTCTCAAACGCCAACACTCCTTCCTTGATCTGGGTGCCCAGGTCCGTGAGGTGAAAGCTCGCCTCATGAACAATATTATGGCAACTCTTGCAATACCATCTTAGCGTGTCAACTGAGTCCTCTGGCCGCGGCTGTTCCAGTACAACGCCCACGGTGTCTGCAAATCGGACAGGGTTGTGCGGAGTATTGGGAGGAAGGAGGAACATTGAGTTCTCATGAATGGGTATGTCGACAGGCGTGTGTGGTGTGGTTGAGGTGTCCATGGTCTTCAGCAGCATGGAGCCCTTATGCTGGTAAAAGAACTCGGACGTGGTGTTGATGTGGTAGTCTGTTCGAGCATTCGGGCCACCGACAACCATAACTGTCAGGCCACCAGTAGAGGACGAGGGCGCATAGACACAGTAGTTGTTGATGGGCGGCTTGAGCAGGTGCGAGTTATCTTTGAGCCTGAGAAACCGTCAGCGAGAAGCCGTACCACATAGAACTGCTCAATTGTTCTCGGTACCATTTGGGCAGATTTAACGCGGCGGCCATGGTGGAGTGGCTCCTGGAGTGGCACTGGGTCAGTTTGAGAGGGAATTGACGTGCACACAGCCGTGTAGCAGCGAAGAGCCTGAACTGTGTACGACCAACTGGGATATATCTAGGCGCACTCCTGGCTGCCTTCATCGAATGCGGCTATGTTCCTGACTTACTAATGTAGGCAGCAGAGGACGGCGGCCCGCGAATATACAGTAGCAGTGAGTAGGTCTTGGGAAAAAGTCAAATGCTGATCGAAGCCGACGGTTAACGTCAGAGGCAAAAAGCAGCGGGAGAAATCAGATCGAGTCCAACTGCGGAGAAAATTTTGGCGTGCTGCGGAGAAGCGGCCTGTTGGACTTTTTTTTTCTGATGAATGTTTAGAGAAAGTCCATTCTCAAGCGCAGACACATGAAACTGGCGCACTCACAAAAAACATGAGCTGACCCTGGATCTTTTGACTCTCCTATACCAAAAATGTCGACCTCACGACCTCCCCTCCGATTCTCCTCCCACAAATCCCTGACTTCGCGCTTGATCCTCTCTACGCTGCTTGGTCGTCCCATCCGCATCGATCAAATCCGTCCTAATTCACCCACCAACCCAGGGCTGGGGCCACACGAAATCTCCTTCTTGAGACTCCTCGAAGCAGTCACGAATGGCTCACACATTGAAATCTCGTATACGGGCACGGTGCTGTTGTACAAACCCGGGTTGATCACTGGGTCGGCGCCGGGCAGTGGAGCGGACGGCGTCTCGGGCGTGTTGAGACACGAGATCCCTGCCACGAACACACGAGGACTGGCCTACTTTTTGGTTCCGATGTGCCTGCTGGCGCCCTTCAGCAAGGCCAAGTTCAACATCTTGTTCACTGGTCCCGGCGTGATCACGAGTTCGACCCCAGAAACGTGGGGGGATATGAGCGTGGACTCCGTCAGAACAGCAATTCTGCCTCTCTACGCGAAGCTTGGCATTGAGAGAGACATTGAGCTGAGGATTCTAAAACGGTCCAATCCTGGCCCCAGGGGCATGGGTGGCGCGGGAGAAGTACAGTTGGTGTTCGGCCACCAAGTGCGGCTGCCCAAGACTTTACATATGCTCAATTCAGGGAGAGTGAAGCGGATCAGAGGCGTGGCTTATTCGACAGGCGTGAGTGGACAGAACAATGCAAGAATGATCGAGGCAGCGAGGGGCGTGTTGAACCAGTTTGCAGGCGACATTTATATCTTTTCGGACGTCAGCAGTGCCACTCTGGTGCCTGCACCGACAAAAGACAACCCAAATGCCAAAAGGAAGGTTGGGCTCGGGTTTGGCCTGTCGCTGGTGGCTGAGACTTCGTCCGGATGTTTGTACTCTGCAGACTCAGCAAGCCCTCCGGAGGGAGGGAAACCGCCCGAGGATATTGGACGGATGAGCGCATTCCAGCTCCTCGAGAGCATCGAGCGAGGAGGATGTGTGAGTCTGGAGTCTATCGACACCGTTTTCACCCTGATGACCATGGGCTCTGAGGATGTCGGCAGAATACAGGTGGGGCGAGATGTACTGGCCAACGAGCATACGATTCAATTAGCAAGAGATCTGAGTGCATTTGGCTCGGCGGGGTGGGGAATTCGAGATGTCGAAGGTGGGAAGGGAGAGGGACAGCTCTTGGTCAGTGTTGTGGGCAGAGGAGTGGGCAACGTCGGGCGGAAAATCGGTTGAAGACATGGTATTCATAGTGCCCACTGGGCGCTTGACCTTCGATTTAAGCACGATCAGATCCTCTAGGTATGCGACGTCCTTCAGAGAAGACAAGATTCGCTACAGCTTCGCAAACCGACAGAATGCAGCATCGGCCTCCCGACCACCTGCCACCAGGGTCCCGGGTCTTATGACGAAGTCACAGCTGGGAGGCGCCAGATATTCCTCTGATCGAGATGTGCGACGTCAGCACGGCGTCGAAAGTGCGCCTTGCTGACGAGAGGACAGAAGGATGCCAGCGACGGATTTGATAGCTCGACACGGCGTCCAAGTCCCCACGCTCATTAATATAGCAGCCATGGTCAGCAAAAGCACGGACATGTCGACCAGTCATTCATCAACCCGCGACAAAGCCAGACACAGAACCACAGTTATTCCCAACACGCCGGCGAGGAGCGTGAGTGTTACGACACCCTGTTCGAAGAAAGAAGCTGCTACTCCAAACCGTGTTCAGATAGTACGGAAACGATTGCGTCCTGATGATTCATCCGTGCCCAATCCATGGCGCCCCTCCCTTTCGAATCCCGCAAATCCGCCCTGACCTCATTGTCGCCCAAAAGCATTTCTACGATACGCACGTTGCCGTTTGCCGCGGCGTATGACAACGGCGATCGGCCTTCGGCGCCTGTCGCATTCTCAGAAGAGACCGTACGTCTTTTTGCGACTCGATGTCCCTGGAACAGAAGAAGCAGCAGACTTGCTCGCCCTTTGTCAAGCTCGGTGCCGCGCCGTCTCTCAGCTCTCGGGCAAGGAAGTTGGTAAGTACAGTGTTGCCACACCCTGCATCGCCTGTCAACCACAGAACAGCTGGCTTAGGTTCGGCCGGCCAATCGCGATATTCTCGAGTGAGACGGACCAGACACAAGTACCGTGCAAGGGCTCATCAATAGGAACATCAGGTTGTCGGCTTAACGTCGCCATGTATCTACTTTCCGATTCTGTGAAAGCTTTCATGTGCACTTTAGCCTCTCCCTCAGCACTGGCTAGGAATATTGACGTACAATGATACGAGGTGTCTGGCGTCATCTGCTTCACAGCATAGACTATGGCTCGCGCCAGTGGTTCGTAACCAGGATCATTCCTTGACGAGAAGCGGCACATGGCCATGTGATCGGCTTGAATAGAGATCTCGATTTCCTCCGGTAGTCCAAGAATGGCAGATTGTTTTTCAACGACCTCCAGATTTTCTCAGCACACGATATGAAAAGATTTCAGCAGCCTCGAAATGGACTCACCAGTTTAGAACAACCAGGAGGTATCACTCTTTCGTAGCACGAAATAATGGTCATGGCAGCGGCTCTTCGTTTGAATGATTGGTTGACCTCATCGAGCTTTGCCGAATCTCGCGACAACATGCTGAATAGATCGAGCCTCATCGAACCAGTAAAATTCGAGGTGAATGAGAGATTCAACCAGAAATTGATAAATGTTGCCAGGGGAGCCAACGCTGCGATCTGACTCCCTCTATGTGGCGTACCCTAAACACAATCAACCGGGTTGCGCGCAAAACATCGGCAAAATAGTCAAACTAGTTTGCCATGACCATTGCCTACGACGACATCCTGTCAACTTTGATGCTTCATATCCAGAGATTTGGTGGTACCTCTTTCGATAACCGTCCCGAGTTGTGAAGTTTCGCTCACCTGCTCGGTCAGAAACTTTAAGCCATGGAGTAGGTCGTTCGCGGCGTCGCTGATGCCTGTCACGGAGCGGCTGAAGGCTGGTGCAGATTCATACCCAAAGGAATAAATTCGTGCGCCATCCAAGTCTTTCGGAAGAAGTTGTGAAAGCCACAAGGTCGGTGTCTGGGGATCGCGGCTCGCCCAAGTCCTGTAGTAATCACCTCCGAGACCGAGCACGGCAACAATGCTGACTTCGTAAGTCTGGTCAGATATAGGTGTTTCTGGTAGTGAGGGGAGTCTTCTGAGCCCATAGCGGCGGGAATCGTCTGCCAGAGCTTGCAGTTCTGGAGGTAATCGCTCCTGTTCAACACTCGATGCTTCATCCTGGGCATAGTTATCAGCGTCCCGCACAGCAGCCGATGTGACAATGGTGTTAACACATCCAGAGCGCCTGTTTGCCCGCCTCCGTCTCTGCTTCGAAGGCGCTTTCCTTTGATTTGCCGGATGAACCTCTTCATCGTGTTATAAACCCCATCAGTAAGGCTAGCGGAAATCCATACAATACAGACCGTGCTATCATATCCCAAGGATACAATCCCCTTTGGAGCAAACCTGCGTTCAGCCTGATCATCTTCAAACAGGTATCTAGTGTGGCACTAGATACTTGCTTGACCCGGCGTCGGGCATTGAGCGACGGGACGGGAGACCCTCAAACTTTTGTATGATCCAATAGATGAAGCGTTTGGGGTTGTTCCCTCCAGGTCGGCGTCGAGCCAGGCTGTTTCGAGAGGAGGTACACTGTGTTTCAGGTACGAGGACGAATAGAGGGGGAGAACGCCCTGGCTTTGAGAGCGGCCCAGCACGCGCCCGGCTAATTCTCTACCCCACTAGCCCGCCATCTTCGGTGTCACGTGACATTGCGATGCACCGAGCTGCGACGCAAGCCAGGTCGTATGGAGGATCACGTACTAGATTAAGTGTATCGATATAGTAGTTCTAATACACTTTTTGCAAATTCTTTCACCTGAGTGCAAGTAACACTTCTTGGCCATCTGCCCGCCCAGCCGCCTTGGCTCGCGCCGAGATGTTGGCGCCCGACGCAGTAGCCAATAGGAGAAAGTACATCGGAAGAAATCAAGGCGAAATCCCGTGACTCGGCCTTCCCGGGACGCCCGGATGCTGGCGACGAGGCTTCGGAGCTTGTGAAAAAGCTTTGGATCCTTTAGCTCTGCATAATGACACAACCAGGTCTCTGGCATAACATCCGAGAGGATGACCTTGTGTAACACAATTCTGTCATGAGAAAAGGACGAGAGAGCAGTGTTGGAGAATGTCACCGCCGTCCTTTTGTTCAGAGTCCCTACCTACACCTGGAATTGTAGTGTATGGATCCACCACTCTCTTAGACTTGCCAGATATGTACCTCGTATACCTCGTAGAGATACGCATAAGGGAGCGGGGCAGAAGAAAGGCGGGACGAAAGAGGAGTTGAACAAAAAAGAATCAATGACGACTCCTTGTACTAATGTGGTCCCTCAACCTCTTCATTATGCTCGCACAGAGTGATACTTGCACAAGCTATTTATTGCCGCAAACTCAACAACGGAGCAAGTGGCGGACGAATCCAAAAATTGACCCATCAGCACATCCAACATAAGATGCATGGACCTGCCGGAACTCGGATGCGTGCCTGATTACTTGATGCAGGCAAGCCTTGTCACAATTCCAGCCGATCTCCACCGCTCTCTCGGCCTTGTCAACTGTCCATTCGCTCCTTGTCATCTTTTGTTTGTGGTCCGCAATGGAATCTGCTGACCTATACTCTGGCTTGCAGCCAGTAGAGCTCTACTATTCCGTTCCAGACAGAACACGAGCTGTTGACTAAACCGGCTTTTGGAAACTCTGATCGCTAGCCAGAGCCACTGTGATACCTAGAATGGGCCTTACCTTACTCAGACCAAGTGATGGCACTGGCGGGCTTTTTCCCTATGCAGAGGCAAGGCGGTGGCTGGCATGTACCCTTTGCTGCCCTGCTTTTTTATTCTGGTACCCGGCCCGCCCGTGAGGTGCTTGTCCTGTTCCCTGTCCATACATATACGCTGCTGTCCCGCATCTCTGACAGTGGGAGATTCTTCTGGCCATTTTACTGAGTAGCTAACGTCATCGTTCTGGACTGTCTCGGTTTGCTCTGACGGAGTGGAAAGATCAGGCAGAGACTAGGATCGAAGAATACGGCGGTGAAGGCACAGTCGAAGCCCAGAGATCCGCACGAAGACGAAGGGAAGATCTCGCAATGGGCGCAGGCGCATTCCTCGAGCCTCTGGCCGTGGTCGTCCTCCTTTTTGGTGGTGCTTGGATCAACCGAGCGCCTGATTCCTTTTCGTCCTCACGGAGTCCTCTCACCTTCTCGGCCGAAGAAGATGACCACGACGTCCCTGACCTTCCCCTCGCTCGCGCAGTCGACAGCGGCGCAGATGCGGACATTGAAAATCTACACATATCCCGATCGAAGAGATCTCTGAGCCCATCTCTGTTACCAAATCAAGAGGACAAATGGCGGGAGCGCGAGCTGAAGATACCTGTCTTGGGACACCGAAGGGTGGTTCAGACACCGAATACAGCAATGTTCAGACATAGACTACTCAGCAGAATATTGCACAAGTTTCCATTCTTGGTCGAAGCCTGGTACTGGGCTCTGATATACTGGGTCAGTCTAAACATCCGGCAGACAGCCCCGTCCCCCACCAGGGAATTTGTGTTCTGACAGACTCGTGGTAAATAGGTCTACCAGCTCGGCCGAGCATTCACTGCCCTCAGCTTGGTTGAAGGAACGGTGAACGTTGCGCGCCGACATGCGCTGCAAGTCATTGAACTCGAACAGCGACTGCACATCTTCTGGGAACTTCCTGTCCAGAAATTCTTCATGTCCTACCCGCGCTTGATGATGTCAATCAACTGGCTGTACAGCTTTATCCACATTCCTGGCACCATCGCCTTCTTGGTGTGGTTGTACTACTATACCATCACTAGGAACCGGCTGATTCAACGTCGTGCGGCTGCTCAGTCAAGCGGGAAAAGAGGCGACTCCCTACCGGTGGGGTCACCTTCAGGACCATGGCTCTACGAGGCGCGCCGAAGGACAATGGCAGTTTGCAATTTGCTTGCCTTCATCGTTTTCACGCTCTGGCCGTGCATGCCACCTCGGTTGCTGAGTGACCCGGAATATGATGGACCCCAGGCTGAAATTTCCAAGAGCTTCGGGTTTGTTGATACTGTGCATGGTAAAGAAGGCGCAAGTTCGGTGTGGACGCAGAACCGGTTCTGTAATCAATATGGTGAGTATGAACTCTCTCCAATGTTCTCTCGGGATTCTCTCCTGGAGCGCATTGGTAGCGAAGCAAGCGGTCAAAAGTCATGTATGCTAATAGTTCTACCTTTGAACAGCGGCAATGCCCTCCCTGCACTTTGGCTATTCCCTCTTGATCGGCGTCACTATCATGACGATCCCCTTGGGCCCCGAGAACTCGCAGCCCTGGAAGATCGTTCATCTTCCCATCTTCAACAACTCTCACCCCAACCTCGCGCCTCACATTCGGCTGCCGAGCACGCGGCGGATGCTCTGCCTTGCCATCGGCTTCTTGTACCCCTTTTCCATCTTGATGGCCATCGTCGCGACAGCGAATCATTTCATCCTCGATGCGGTGGCGGGCTCCATCGTGTGCTGCCTGGGCTGGAAGTTTAACGGTGTGCTCTTAAACCTGCTCGTGCTGGAAGATTGGTTTCTCTGGTGCTTGAGGATTCACAAGCCTGTCCAGGTACCGCTGGATGCTGAGAGGCAAGCGAAATCATCAACAGGACTTGGGATCAACAGAGAGACTGGAGGCTGGGAGCCGGAGAAGAGGCCTGTTGTGGCGAATGCTGCTTGAGGTCGATCTCGAATTCCCGCACCGGGACTACGGAAAGCCTTGCGACATTGGATGGCCACGATAATACAAGTCTTACGAAACCAGTTTGGCAGCCGACCTCCACGCCCATCAATCTATTGGGGGAAGGGCCTTAATAGGCAAGAAAATCGATCCCAGGGGTGCCGCTCGTCAAAGTTATTGCCTCGACCTATCTTCTCCATTCGAGACCACGAATAGACCACAGACCAGGCCTACATGCCTACAGTAATGCTACCACGAGCATCATTTGGATTGGTTGTATATAGAATCTTGTCACCCTCCCCTCTTTCCTTTTAATCACGAGGCGTTGAACGATGCGACGATATGACGACGAAACGGGCTGGACATCTGCATCCCATCCAGCTTGCTGTATATAAGACTTGGGAGTCGTATATAATATGTTAATAGACGAATTGAGGACAGAGCAAAGCGAGAGACATGTCTGCCATCATGAATTGAGATTGGGTGTGGGCCGTAGATCTTACAAGACTTAAACCCCTGTTGTTAGGACATCAGCTACGGATCTACTGTACACTACGACAACCACATATCACTCAGATATCCTCGGTAGACACCAGTTTGTTTGTGGAAAGGGTGTTTGTGTTGGTAGGGGAAACGAGTCGAAATGAATGGAAATGTGCAAGATGACATAATACACCGAGCATGGCCAGGCGCAACTCACCCGACATCCGATTCAGCAGTAGGCTATATACTTCACCCTACACATTGTATCATGCACTATTGCGTCACCGTAATGGCTCTCTGGCAAGTCGTCTCCTGCCACCCTGCCTCTCTGCCAATGTCGCTGTTTATGGACTCTGTTTGAATTGACCTATGTCGCTGCTCTAGAGCTGTCAGAACTTAAAGATATACTTCGAGAAATACCTACACAATGACCAGGTGAACCAGGGCCGATCTCACAACCGTCCTCAGGGATACCTTCCCATTTGGTGCTGGCTCCCGACATCGATCTGTGATCTGAAGCTGCGCTTTACATTGGCCGCCAGTCACCCACGGACCGGCCGGTGGGCGAGCGCTCTTTTATCCCCAGCCACTTTACTTTTGTATTGACGGGTGAATGAACAAGAAAGATACAAGGTGCAATTGATCACCAGCTTCTTCATCCGCCTTAAATCACGACGCAACACCACCACCATCAACACCGGCCAGCGTTCCTCAAACCTGAGACCGGTCCCTTGGGAAGCAGTTCTCAACTTTCCCCGTGTCTGACGCGCATATTGACCTCCTTATTCCCCGCTCCGTTGGAATTCATCGGAGCTCGATCTCCAAGACCAGCAATTTCGATCACAGATTGTGCTGGTAAAAAACGTTGGTGAGTGCTTCCATTGTTCATTCCCAACGGATCGGATCAATGTTTTGAGGAGAACAAAGAGGACGACGATACAGCACGGGTTACCTAGCGGGCGCAAGACGCCGGCGATTACCAGCCGAGTTCCTTTTGCACAGGATCAGAGGGCAGCTCCCCCGAAGGACCTTGGCGGCAGGGGTGCCTGTGATTGGCTGCAAGGCAGTTGCAGTGGCTTTTCTCTTTGCATTGCTTTGGGGCATTTCAATTCCCTTCTCCATCATTGTCGCAGTCGCAGTCCTCACTCTCTCATCCCATCGCGACCACTCGCACACTACCATCCCAACCTTTGTCGCATCGATATCATCGTCCTTATCCTTCATCCATCCAGAGTCGCCTGGTCTGTGGTTCTCCCCCTGTTTGCTGTGGCTCATCTTGTTGGATCCGGGCTTTGCCAGCTACTTCGTGCTGTCGCGTCCCTCCCATTCCCAGCGCACAACACTCTGCTCCTTACATTCACAAGGCAATCCGGTCTTACACTAAGCAGCATTTCTTCAAGTACACAATTACTGATATCTTCTTCCGACAGGTCAAGACCTTTCCTCGCCTGCGCGCTCACCAACGCGTCACTTCTCTCCACTCTCCTCCCTCACTGAACTCCGTCCAACATGGCTTCTGAGGAGACGGCTCCAATGACAGAGGTCCCTGTTAAAGTGCCGCAACCTGCTGATGGAGCTCCTCCGTCGATAGCTGAGCCTGCTTCAGGGACCGTCGCGGAGATGTCGGGAGCTCTTCCCGCTGAGAAATCCACTGAGACAGACCCGGTTCAAGCGACAGGTACTCTTGATGCTTTCATGCCTCAGAAAACTTGCTGATCTTGATGCACAGATAGCGCGACAGCAAATGGCCCTGTAGAGGATGCAGCGGCGCCGCCTCAGGAGACACAAGAATCAGTGGCTGAGTCTGCGACCGGCGCAACTGCTGCTGAAGACACTGAGACTAAGGAGACGGATGACGCAGAGGCTGCTCAACCAGAGACAAACGGCGCAACCCCTGCCGACAAGAAGTCTTCGTCGCGGAGAAAGTCATCCACTGTCGCTGAACACAAGGGGAAGAAGCTCAACAAGAAGAAGTCCATGTCCAAAATCACTCATCTCGATGCCCAACCAGGCGACTACTATCTTGCTAGGCTGAAAGGGTATCCCCCTTGGCCGTCAATCATCGCAGATGAAGATATGCTTCCTGATATTATGATTAACACAAGACCTGTGACCACCAAGAAGGCCGACGGAACCTACAACGAAGCTTATGCAGACGGCGGCAAGAAAATGAGTGAACGAACATTCCCTATCATGTTTTTAGGCACGAATGAATTGTAAGCTGCTCCCTCTCATGGTTCTCATGGTTACAACAAAGCTGACACCAGACAGTGTGTGGATCCACAACACCGACCTAGCTCCATTGACGCCCGATGAATGCAAGGATATCCCGGAGAAGGGCAAAGGCAAGGCTCTCCTCGCCGCATACAAGATCGCTGCCGAAGGCCACGACCTACAATACTTCAAGAACATGCTTGATGAGCACGCAGCAGCTTTGCAAGCTGAGATCGATGCGAAGGAGGCCCGAGAGGCCGAGAAAGTTGCCAAAGCTGAGAAGAAGAAACGCAAGAGCGAAGCCAAGGCCGAGGTCGAGGATGTCGACATGGAAGATGCTGATGTCGACGTTGAGCCCAAGAAATCTTCCAAAAAGCGTAAGAAGGAGGTCGACGAGGAGGAAGACGAAGATGAGAAGGTGAGCAGCAGTGGTATTTCCAACTGTTAGCCCTAGATTCTAACTATGGGTAGCCTGCGAAGACTCCGAAGACCACCAAGATCAAGTTGACCACCAGCAAGACACCCAAGACTGAGGAGAAGAAGCCCAAGGAGAAGGCAACCAAGGCCAGATCGGAGAAGAGGAAGTCTCGAGCCGCTCAAGAGGATGAAGAGATGGCAGACGCGGTCGAACCGGAGCCAGAGGAAAAGCCTCTGGACCCAGTCGAGGCACGCAAGGCCCGTGAGAAAGAAGGTAAGCATTTCACTATTCTGAGTGTTTGCACTCGAGCTAATCCAGCCCAGTGCTCTTCCTCCGCCACAAGCTGCAGAAAGGGTTCTTGTCCAGAGACCAGGCTCCTCAAGAAGATGAGATGCCAATGATGGCTACGTATATCAAGAAGCTCGAAGGCTACGCGGATTTGGAAGTCAGCATCATTCGAACCACCAAGATCAACAAGGTTCTGAAAGCCTTGATCAAGCTCAACACCATTCCAAGAGATGAAGAGTTCCAGTTCCGAAAGCGCTCTGTAGATCTTTTGAGCCAGTGGAACAAGATTCTTGGTGCAGAGCCAGCGGATGGCGATGCTGCTGGCGACAAGGATACTGCCACGAACGGTGTTCACGACGAAAAATCCGAAGAAGCTCCCGAGGAAGACAAGAAAGAAGAGTCTTCTGCTCCTTCTGAAAAGCCTGCTGAGGCTGCTGAGGAGAAGCCAACAGCTGAGCCTGAGGCAGAAGAACCCGTGGCGGATGCGGAGCCAGAAAAAGCTGATGCTGAAGTGCCAAAGCCTGCAGAAGCCGAAGAACCCGTGAAGGCGAATGATGCGGCGCCTGAAACCGAAGAGAAGGCCCCAGAATCAGCAGCGGCTGCGACAGAGGCTGCCGACGTTGTCAAGGCTGCCGAGTGAACGCGCATACGAGACCTGCAATGTGACGATCTTGGAGGTTGCAGGATCATTGACATGTGAATTGCGATGTTTTCAGGCGTGCATGGGAGTTTTGGTAGGGGTCGTCCGTCGTCACTGCTGATGCATCCTCATGGCCAGATATTGAGAGACACTCGTGTGCACGTGGAGGGCCTAGAGATGTCCTCAACATTTGGTACGACACAGGGCGAGCAGGTATGGCAATGATCGAAATGGAGTCTTTACGCACATTGTGTCACGCTTCATGTCTCCAGAGGCCTTTTTGGAGCGGGTGTGGGAGGAACAAATCAGAGCTCAACCACACCATCGTGGCTCTTGGCCTTAGTGACTTCTTTACTCTTCTTGTATCCAGTCAGATTATTTAGGAAAGAAAGGCAACGCGCTGGAGAGGTTTTGGCCTTTGTAGCTAGGGCACGAAAAGAAAATGCGAAATATTACAATGAAATCGGGTGCAAGGCACGACTTGGGAGGACTGTCGAGGCAGGGAACGCAATGTCGAGGCTCGTCTACGGTTCAGGGACGGGTCTGAATGCTTCGTGCCATGAAGGGGGAGAGAGATATTAATCAGATTAGTACCTAGGCACCGAGGTAATGGTAGAGAGAGATGAGCGGAGAGCGTGTGGAGGGTGAGAGATAGTCTCGACCTCGACGACGCTTTCCAGGGAGGGCGAAATTGATATCCGTACCGTACATGTAAATCAGATAAAGAAGACTTGACAAAGACATGGGACACAGACGTGGACAAGCATGTAACGACGGACTCGAGAGCCTCGTGGCGCTCGAGATTGGAATTGATTAATATATGCACTCTCTTCCTGTTCCTCTTCCTCTACCCTGACCGTCTCTCTGTACCGAGTAAGTACCCCTACCCTCGCATGTCAAAAAGCAGATCTTAGGGCTCGCGGTCCAGAAGAACGAACGAAAGGGGGAGGTAGGTACATTTTACACATATATATGCATAGATGCCCACTACATACCTGGGTATCAACATAGGTACATGCATGGGTACATACCTACATGGACAGGTACCTATAGACAGATATAGGAGTGCGAGGTATACATACATACAGAACGTTTAAATACCTTGGGGAAATAAGTCATCGTTGTATTCGGCCGCCGAGCCCTCACATCATGCCATGTCACAGACACAAGGGGGAGACAAGATCATCCAAACGCCCCGAGATCGAAGATATCCAAATAACGGAGCAAACCCCAAAATTGCTCGATAACTAGAGTACTTTTTGGGGGAGAAGCGAAACATCTAGAGCCGTGTATCCTTCCACAGCTTTGAAGACCACATCCGGGGGGTCAAATACCTAGCCAAAACAAAGAGACGAGTCTGTTCCGACTCACAGATCGCCGTCGCCCTCCGAGCCTCCCGTTTCGTCGTCTTCAGGCAACTCGCTCAGACACGTATCGATCAAGGTCATTAGTTCATCCACGTCCGGTCGCTCCGCTGGTTCAACTTGTAGACATCGCCTCACGACTTCTCGAGCTGCCGGGTGTGGGTATATCCTCCCACCCGAGGCTGGCGCGGTCGCATTGGGTGACTTGTTTGCGTCACCATTTACGGCGGTTGCGCTACTCTGGGATGACGCAGTATTCGAACGTGCCGGCGCAGATCCGACCTTGTTCTTGCCTTTTGAAAGATTTCCTTCATCAGGCCATCTCCAGTCGCCGCCCAACACGCAAATACTAAGACTGCCACCAGTCTCGTCGCTCCTAGCTTCAAAGGGCGATTTCCCCACAAGGCAAGCATACATCGTGCACCCAAGACTCCAGATGTCAACTTTCGTGTCGATGACGGAGCCGGTTTTCACGTCGAAAAGTTCGGGAGCGCGGTAGGGCATGGTACTGTGTTCAGCCGCCGTATCTTGTACGGCAATGGCCAGAGAGCGGGATGTGATGGGCGTTGGGCTCGGTGCGAGGGATCCCAGATCCATCAAAATCGGTGTCCTGCCATCGTCATCAATCATGATGTTGCCAGGTTTGATATCGCGATGAGCATAAGCCCGTGTATCACCCGGACTCTTGCCCTCCTGTGCGCGGGTGACTTCATCCGAGGGCATGAGCGGTTCTTCCTGTTCTTCCGCCAAGTCTTCTTCGTTCTCCTGTGACGCCGTCATTGTTCTCTTGTTGGCGCGAGCTTTCCGTTTCGCAGCGTCGGCATCTTCACTTGCGGCTTCCTCGCGGATGGATTGGGCGGCAGTCCGTGATGGCGTGTTCCGCACGTGGTATTGGTGCATAGCTTTCAGTGCTTTGCAGATTCCAAGCATCAATTGCATGAGCCGTCGCTCACCGAAGCGGGTGTGGTTCACCAAGTTTGCGTTGATCATATCTTGCAGATTTCCTCTCCGGTAGTAAGGTAGGAGGATGTAGACGGTTTTACTAGCCCCGTTGGCCGTATCGGTCCCGATCCCAGATACTTTCGTGGTAGAATCGGTTTGCACAGCATGGTCGACAGCGTGGATTATATTAGGATGTGGTGCAAAGAGCGTATATGCTTCAACTTCCTTGAGCGCTTGGGATACTGATTCTTGGCCGAAGGGACACCGGATCTTCTTGAGTGCGTACAGAGCCGAGTCGGAGGTGTCTTGAACAAGGTAGACGTAAGAGAAGCCGCCCTAGACACAGGAGACATGTTGTCAGCATTATGCATGGCTGAAATGTCCAGGCTCTCAGGAGGTACCGACCTCACCCAGTAGTCGAAGCATGCGAAAGCTTCTGTTATTGATCTTCAACTGCGGAGTGCTCGGAAAACAGCATATACAGCTAGATAGGGAATAGAATATATCTAGGAACGTGTTCGCCATGATGGGCGGTTGGGAGGGAAAGCAGGCGTAAGCCGGACCGTCAGTCAGGAGAGTGCTGGGAATCTGTTGGATAGACAAGGACGACAGCGACGATGAAGGTCGATGCGATTCGTGCAGGAATTAGACGGGAAGACAATCAGATGAGAGACTTGGAAATGGGCCTGACATTCCTGTCGTTATTCCGAGTGTCGCATCTTGGTTAAAGGAAGAGTACGGGGTACAAGCAGAGGTGTTCAAGGGAGGACTCGTATGCATTAGACGCCCAGGCGCCGCATGCGCCGATGGTATGACCTGCGCCTCTGAAGGATATACTTGACCATATCATTTTGCAAGGCTGATAGGGCGGAGTATTTAGACACTCAATCCTCAGCCTTGTGGCCTACTTCCTTTTCGGGCAAAATATTTAGTTCCCTTTTCGATGGGCATGTGAAAGAACATCCGATGCACAGCTGCAGTAAGAATGAGAATGATGGTATATATATAATAATAATATCGGTCTGTCCTGAGTCAGGGCAGAAGAAAGTAAGGGGGAGTAAGTGGGTGTGCACTCCAGAAATCCAGCACCAAGTGATCAGGCTGATCTTGAGCCTGAACACCAAACATAAGTTAGCAGGTGATTAGTTACATTATACAATGCTGACCATCGGGGATCGTTCTACACTTCAAAGAGAAAGAGTCCCTGGCGGTCCTCCAAGAGCGTCGCGGCATTAGCAACGCCGTGCTGAAACACCTTCTCCAAACGGCATCGTTTACGTTTTGCTGTATTTGGGGCTGGTGCGGTAAACTCGGCGTCCGAGCTGAGACCACACCGTTGATTCGATGGCCTTACATACACTTGCACGTCTCAAGGCACTGTTAGCTATGAGAGGCATGTGCGAAATGTACAAGGACATCTCGTAATTCCGCAGCGCAGTTGTGCACTCTGGGTGCTGGGCTTTGAGGACTCTCAAGATTGTACCAGTACTTTAGGACCATCTACCGCTATGTGCCGCCCTTGAAGACCATACGGTGGGTTAAACCAGGTGGGGTCGGTTGTAATTGGTTCTTCCTGACTTGATGAATGCCTTACAGAGATGACCTCTTGCCGACTGGCTATAAGGCAGGCTCGCAGGTTCTGTCTGGAGCCACGCATGAGTCAGTCAAGGGTAAAAACTGACGACTTGTACCGAAGAACTGCGGTCCCAGGCTGGTTGCCCCGTACAGATTCGGCCCAAAACATATTGCGCTTGACTTGAAAATTGCTGTGTATAAGTCTGTATCTAATGGATGGAAACAAGCTCCAAAAGCTCGTACCGTCGTTTGATCGGCATAAGCAGCTAGGTGCTAAAAGTCGAGTCTCAAGCCGCTTCCCCATTGAAAAAGAACGAATGAGAGGACCTCCAGCCTTCCTAATAGGACCTAGTACCCGGAATACGGGTGGCCTTGGATGTCGAGGGCTGGCGGTCGGAGGTGGACCTGCCACACCAACAAAGCTCAGCCCACTCTCGCTCGGGTGCAATGTAGCTGAAGCATATGCAAGTGAGATCAGGCAAGGACGCCACGTCTAAAGTGATCGTTGGTGGCTGAAGACGGGGATACAAGCAAGAATAACAAGCATTCTAGGCGTCAGGAGGAATGAAGGAGGAAACAGCAGAAGGCACGGGATTCGCTCAAGGCAAGTTGCTCGCTTAGCTTGACTCTGATTTAACATCGGGCGTGGCCTCACCTGGCTAGGAGACCCGAAAAAACCAACATGTCCGCTTAAAAAGGGCGGCATTGTTGTGGCCCTGACCATTTCAGCTTGCTTTCGGCAGACAGGGTTAGCCGAAGGCCCACAGGACTGGGGCGTATTCATATACATACCTTACCTTAAAGTCCACCGTCTTTCCCTTCCACACAACGTATCTTTTTGGCTGAGGACAAGGGCCGAACATCATCTCGACGACCGACTATCCTGCTCACCGAGAAATGCATGCTCACACGAAGACCCTGAGCACATCGAGTATCACACCAGCCCTGACCGACCGCGAAATCCCCGTTTCACCACGATATACATATGCTCGGCAACGCTCGCTGCTCACAATCCCCCCTGGTTATCGCGTCACCATTCGAATTATCACGGTGTTGCTCGCCATTGGCGTCGGAGCAGCCCTGGTGTACACAATCATCATAAAAAATGCCACAGAAGAATCTCGATTTCTGGATGCGGAGGGAAACAACCGACCCGCTTGGCCACCGATAATATGGACGCAGCCGACGATCGTCCTACTGACCGCAGCTGGCTATTCCTGCCTGTTTGACTTGACCGCTTTGGTTATGACGTGTGCAGAGGTTAGACTGCTTTCCGACTGTCGCTGGACCTTGCTGACAGGTGCCAGATACATCGTAGTGAGCTCTGGGCCATCTGGCTTGAATCGTCAGCTTTCACCGTCTCAATCGCTGTGTGGATTGCTGGTTTGGCCTATGCCAAAACATGGAACAGCCCCGATTCCTCATCGTCCGATCTGTGGTCCTGGTCTTGCAGTCATCAAGGCATCCACTTGAACTATGGAAATGATAGTGTTGAATTTAAGTCGCTCTGTCGATACATGGTAAGAGAAATGGGTTTTCGCAGGATTACACGCTGATGAACTCAAGGACTTCGTCTTCTGCGGGGGAATTGTAGTTTGCGCATTGCAGTTCGTCAATATGGTGCTATTCTGGATTGTTCGGAATGGAGAAAGAGTTCAGAAGGAGATATCAAAGCGTAATGCATATGCCAGAAAACATATTTTGGGAAGCCAGGATACAGTTGGCCAGGATGAATAGCTGTGACAAGGTAACCGCCTCAACCGCTCTGCAGCGTACAATGGCTGCCGAAGCCTATAAGGGAAAGACTTGAGTTTCAAGAGAACATCCATGGTCAAGCAGTAAATATTCGAGGAGTTTAGTTTCGAAGCAGAATCGGCAGCATCATGAGACAGAGACAGGTTTTATGCTATTGTGCTGTTAGAATACGTACAACTGTAAAATCCTCTGGTCAACATCAGGGGTTTCAGCCTTTTTGAGGTTGTTTTCAGTGTCGACGAAAAGAGAAGGTTTGCCGATGGATATGCCAAGATTTCAGAGTATGGGAAACTTTTTTGAGCAGTAGAGGTCGCCGTCACAGAGGCAGCGACATTGCAGCTGAAGTATTGAAGCCTCTCTAAGTGACGACAGGCGAGGAAGTGCGGAACGATCTTGTTTCTGCTCATGGCCACCAAGATATTCTATCCTCCCTCTTAACGGCTTGGACGACTTTGCCCGGATATCCTCTCCACCATCTAGGCCGCCTTCGCACCTATCGCAACCATCACAACTCGCTCGAACTGGCCCATAAGGTTGTGATCCTCGTGTCGCCAAAATGGCAGACCCTAACAATGTATCGCAATACAAATACTCGGCGATGTCGAACCTGGTCCTCCAGGCGGACCGTCGATTTATCTCGCGCCGGACAGATGAGAATACTGGCGACCCCGAGTCTCTGGCTGGAAGACTCAACATCCGTGATATGGGTTCTCGAGTCGCGCGAGATCAAGTACCCAAACAAAAGAAGATTGCGCCAGGGCTACAAGGTGTGGAAAGAGGCTCGATACGTGAAGGCGAAGATGTTTTGGAACGAGAGCAGAGGAAGCGGAAGAGGGGTGAGCCTGCCCAACCTCGAGGTGCCGGCGTCCTTTCGGCTGGCGATGCATTGATCGAAGGGCTCAAGTACCGTCCTAGGACTCCCGCCACTCGGGCGACTTACGACCTACTGCTCACCGTGACTGCAAATGCGCTTGGAGATGTTTCGCAGGAAATCGTCCGAAGTGCAGCCGATGCCATCCTCGAATATCTGAAGGACGACAACTTGAAAGATCTCGATAAAAAGAAGGAAATCGATGATATTGTTGGCATTACAATGACCCCCAAGCAGTTTAATGAATTGATCAATCTGGGCAAAAAGATAACGGATTATGACGCACAAGACGAGGACGAGAACATGGCGGACGGTGCCGGCGCTGACGAGGCCGAACTTGACGAACGTCAGGGCGTCGCTGTCGTCTTTGACGAGGATGAGGACGTAGATGAAGACGGCATTGGACGAACATACGAAGTTCGGGATGAAGACGAAGGGGACAGTGATGAAGAGGAAGATATTCAAGACCAACCAGGCCTTGAAGAATCAGCGTCAGCTGGTGGGGCAGCTGCTCCCGATATCGACCCAGATGATGATGAGGAGGCCGAAATGATCATAGACAGCGGGCTTGGCGAGTCTTCTCGCAGAAAGCGAGAGGATGCCGACTTAGTTCCCATCGACGAAATTGATGCCTACTGGCTTCAACGGCAAATTGGTTCGGTGTACTCTGACGCCGTTATCCAGCAGCAAAAGACCCGAGATGCCCTCCAGATCTTGTCTGGCAAGAATCTCGAAGGTGAAGAGATATCCCTGCGCGATATCGAAAACGACTTGATGGACTTGTTCGACTATGAACATGCGGACCTGGTGGGGAAACTTGTGTCCAACAGAGAAAGAATTGTTTGGATAACGAGATGGCGCAGAGCTGCTGAGGATGAGGATGCCCGACACCTCGTGGAGAGCGAGATGGTTGAGGCGGGCCATCGAGCAATGTTAGACGAGCTGCTTGGCAAATCAGGTCGAAACGGAGACGAGCCACGGCCGGCTAAGAAGATGAAGCTGGATTTGATGGACCTTGATATCCCCAAAGCACAAGAAGAGCAAGAAACGAAAAAAGACGGTGGTCTTTCCGGTGGGCTTCAGCCACAGCGGGTCATCAATCTCGACAATCTCGTCTTCGAACAGGGCAATCATCTTATGACGAATCCAAAAGTCGTCCTTCCACAAGGCTCTACCAAGCGAACATTCAAGGGCTATGAAGAAATCCATGTCCCGCCTCCCAAGCCCAAACGCGACCCTGGCGAGAAGAATATCCCTACCACCGAGCTTCCTGATTGGGCAAGGCAGGGTTTTGGGTCTGCGAAGGAGCTCAATCGGATCCAGTCGAAGTGCTTCCCATCTGCTTTCCACGACGATGGGAACATGCTAATATGTGCTCCGACCGGATCTGGCAAGACGAATGTTGCGATGCTGACTATCCTGCGCGAAATTGGCAAGCATAGAAATCCAGAAACTGGCGAAATTATGCTGGATGACTTCAAGATCATTTACATTGCACCCTTGAAGGCCTTGGTGCAGGAACAAGTAGGCAATTTTGGCAAGCGACTTGAAGTGTATGGAATCCGGGTGTCTGAGCTTACTGGAGACCGACAGCTCACAAAGCAACAAATCGCAGACACACAGGTCATCGTAACGACCCCGGAAAAGTGGGATGTTATAACTCGAAAAGCAACCGATCAAAGCTACACCAGACTTGTACGGCTCATCATCATCGACGAAATCCATCTTCTACACGATGACCGCGGTCCCGTCATCGAAAGCATTGTCAGTCGGACTATCCGCAAGATTGAACAGACTGGCGAGCCTGTGCGGATTGTCGGTCTGAGCGCCACGCTGCCCAATTACCGAGATGTGGCGACTTTCCTACGAGTCGATCCTGAAAAGGGTCTCTTCCACTTTGATGGGTCTTTCAGACCATGCCCTCTCCGGCAGGAATTCATCGGTGTGACCGACAAGAAAGCAATCAAGCAACTCAAGACAATGAACGACATCTGCTACGCAAAAACCATCGAGCACGCAGGAACTAATCAACAACAAATGCTGATTTTCGTTCACTCTCGGAAAGAAACTGCCAAAACTGCCAAATATATCCGTGACAAGGCGATCGAGCTGGAAACAATTGGTCAAATTATGCGGACCGACGCAGCAAGCAGGTCAGTTCTGCAGGAGGAGGCTGATGCGGTCAACGACGCCAACCTGAAAGATTTGTTACCATATGGATTCGGAATACATCATGCTGGCATGGGCGTTGCTGATCGAACTTCTGTTCAGGATCTGTTTGCTGATGGCTATCTAAGAGTCCTCGTCTGCACTGCAACCCTGGCTTGGGGTGTCAATCTTCCCGCACATACGGTTGTCATCAAAGGCACTCAAGTTTACTCCCCTGAAAAAGGGAGCTGGGTCGAACTGAGTCCACAAGACGTCCTTCAGATGCTCGGTCGAGCGGGCCGGCCACAGTTTGACTCATATGGTGAAGGTATCATCATCACGTCGCAGGCAGAGATTCAGTACTATCTTTCGCTGATGAACCAACAATTGCCCATCGAAAGCCAACTGATGGGCAAACTAGCCGACAACCTCAACGCAGAAATTGTCCTTGGAAACATCCGCACCCGTGACGAGGGCGTTGAATGGCTCGGGTACACTTATCTGTTCGTTCGGATGATACGCTCGCCCGGTCTCTACAGTGTGGGTGCAGATTACGGCAACGATGAGGCATTGGAGCAGAAGCGAGTCGATCTCATCCACTCGGCCGCCATTGTTCTCGAAAAGGCCGGACTTGTCAAGTACGAGAAGAAGACCGGAAAGCTGCAAGCCACCGACCTTGGTCGCATTGCGTCGCATTACTATATAACACATAATTCTATGCTGACCTACAATCACCACCTCCAACCCTCAATCGGTACAATCGAACTCTTCCGGATTTTTGCTCTCAGTGATGAATTCAAATACATCCCGGTCCGACAAGACGAGAAGCTTGAGTTGGCGAAGTTGCTCGGGAGAGTACCCATTCCTGTCAAAGAAGGGATGGATGAACCACAAGCCAAAATCAACGTTCTCCTGCAAGCCTTTATCTCGCGCCTCAAGTTAGAAGGTCTGGCTTTGATGGCTGATCTGGTCTACGTCACACAATCAGCAGGTCGAATCATCAGAGCCATGTTCGAAATATGTCTAAAAAAAGGTTGGGCTGGCGTGGCAAAGACTGCCTTGGACCTCTGCAAAATGGCCGAGAAGCGTATGTGGCCTACGATGACTCCTTTAAGACAATTTTCGATGTGCCCCAGGGAATACATCCAGAAAGCTGAGCGGATGGAAGTCCCCTGGTCCAGCTACTTTGACCTTGACCCGCCCCGCATGGGGGAGCTGCTCGGTCTTCCCAAGGCAGGCCGGGTTGTGTGCGACCTTGTTTCGAAATTTCCGCGGCTGGAGGTCCAAGCGCAAGTGCAACCGATCACCAGATCACTGCTTCGTGTCGAGCTGACGATCACCCCCAACTTTGTGTGGGATGAAGCAATACATGGGACCGCTGAGTCGTTCTGGATTGTTGTGGAAGACTGTGATGGAGAGGAGATCTTATTCCACGACATGTTCATCCTACGGCGAGAGTACGCAGAAGGTGACATGTCTGAACACTTGGTTGACTTCACCGTTCCCATCAGCGAGCCTATTCCACCTAATTATTTCATCTCGCTGATTTCGGATCGGTGGATGCATTCCGAGACCAGAATTCCCGTCTCATTTCAAAAGCTAATTCTGCCCGAAAGATTTCCTCCTCATACTCCACTTCTCGATCTACAACCTGTGCCTGTCCAGGCTCTGAAGGTCAAAGACTATGTTGCGCTGTATCCAAAGTGGGACAAATTTAACAAAATCCAGACTCAAGTCTTCAAATCCCTATACGACAGCAATGACAGTGTCTTTGTGGGAGCGCCCACGGGGAGCGGAAAGACTGTATGTGCCGAATTTGCTCTTCTTCGACATTGGAAGAATCCAGACGCTGGCAAAGCAGTCTATCTCGCTCCCTTCCAAGAGCTGGTCGATGGTCGTTTCGCTGATTGGAACGAACGGTTGAGCCGAGTGGGTTCCGGAAAGCTCATATCAACCCTGACTG